GTGTGTTCATGTGCATGTGTGTGTGTGTACGCGCGGGTGAACATGTGACTGTGTGTATGTGTTTGAAAATATATATGTATACACATGCATTTCATTCCAGTAGAACTCCAAGAGACATGTTACATGCATCTCTATCGCATGTCGCCGTACGTTGTGGAGCTGTCATATCTATGATTGCCTTAAAAACCTAAAAGCGCGAAATATGACTCTGCGTTCTCTGATAGCGTCACGATAGATGGAGAGCTTGTTACTGTGCCTCTCAGTTCTGACGAGTCTCCGCCTTCATCAAAATGTTTATGCTTGGGGGGGGGGGGGGGGGCACAGGAAATAGATGTTCGTTTGTATGTATGTTGGGGAATATGTGTGTTTGTCTATCTATCTATCTATATATGAGTGTGTATGTATACATATTTATATATATGTTTATATATATATATACATACATATATATATATATATATATATATATATATATATATATATATATATATACATATATGCATATTTAACTCAATGGTGCCGAGGAAAATGAACAAAAAATGGGGAAAATATTGTGCCCACTTTCTATGTTTTTCGTGAAATGTCTGCCGATAGATGGCTCTGCTAGCGCCTGATTTAAATGGCGGGAAAAACGTATTTTTCACTAGTGCTATGAAAATCGATGGATTTTAACATTAGTAACAGCAAAAAAAGGTTACGTAAAATATTTCGTAAATCAAAGAAACGGGTTAACGGGCGAGACGGGCAGTGCTCGTAACTGGCTCATTGGGGAGTTAGTACAAGTGTTGCCATCTATGCATAAAAACAATCAAACAAGTACTCACGGTGGGCATAGCACGTACGTACACGTCATACCCGGCACCAAGGGAATATACACAGACAGACAGACAGAGACAGACAGAAATAGAATACACTCACACACACACACACACACACACACACACACACACACACACACACACACACACACACACACACACACACACATAAACACACACACACACACAACACACACACACATATATACATATATATATATATATATATATATATATATATATATATATATATATACATATATATATATATATGTCTGTGTATATGCACACATATACACAGACAGAGGCAGAAAGAGAAAGACAGAAAAAGAATAAAATATAGAAAGACTGATAGAAAGATATCAGATAACGACGTAGTAGGAAAAAGGAACAGAGAGAATTAGAAGAGAGAGAGAAAAAAAATCCACATCTTTACAGCTTTTCGGTGCAAGCACACAGGCGAATATTGCGAGTTAGTGCAACGCTAAGAGAAATTTAAACTGTCTGCACAGGCATAACATTATTCCCATTATACCGAACAAGTATGCACAATAACCGGCACGATAGTAATAACGTGGGTCGGGACAAAATATCTGTTCTCCTTTAAATGTCTGACCATATTTCAGGCGAAGGAAAAATCCCGGGGTTCAATTACACCACATTTCGGTACAGCGTTGGGTTTGGGGAAACGGAACGAACCTTAAGAGAAAGGCAGATAGGGATATTAGGTAGGAAGGGGGGTCGAACATATGCTGGAACGAACGAAAGGTTTTCGAAAGAGGTTGTATGGGTTGGTAAAGCGCGTACTTCAGATGACGACGTATTTAATCATACAGATAGGGTGGTTGATTAGATAGTGATGGATGATCGTATGGTGAAAGTGGTAATGGCTGTACTTGGGGGTAAGTACAGTGATCGTTATGGCAACAAATAACACACACACACACACGCACACGCACACGCACACTCACACACACACACACACACACACACACACACACACACACACACACACACACACACACACACACACACACACACACACACACACACACACACACACACACACACACACATATATATATATATATATATATATATATATATATATATATATATATAAGAAAGGACACTATAAAAAAATAAACATCAAAGTGAACCCTGAAATCGTTGATAGTTTGAAGGCAAGTCAAGTTTCCAAGAAGCGGCGAGTCTTTTTTAGAAATGGCCGCACCACAACAATAGTAACTTTCCATTTCATTTAAACCGTTTGTGATATGAATAAATCTTCGGTACAATTTGTGGTAGAGTGTCACTCTATCCTCCATACAACCCTAAAGTCTAATTGGGTCCATTTCAATTCATCTAGTGCACTATAAATATTTCTGATTCGCTTTTTTTGCTATAGTGATTAAAAGTCTCGTTTTTCATTACCTACTCTATTAACTTGGGTACGGTGTAATACGTAGCAGGATCGACTGCATACCAGCGCACTTAATCTGGGGGCAAGCTGGTAATATTTTAATCAAGGTATTTGCTTAGTCGTTCGGGTATGGCTTGTCATTATAGGAGTCGGTGCGCTGTGTGGGTCTGTTTACGTGGAAGCTTGTGTGTCACTTCCCTTTGCGCGTTTGTGTACTTGTGTTTATTTGTTCGTGAGTGCATTTGGTGTGTTATTAGGTTTGTCTGCTTCCTTTTGTGTTCATTTGTTTATATGTATCAGCTTATTATGAATAGTGAGGAGTGTTTCCTATCAAGTGGTTGCAAGTATGACACCGTTTCACGCTTGCTATTCACGCATCTGTTTAGGGGAATATACTATTCACTTTTACCAGATAATGTATATTTCCCTATAAAGTCTGGATGAACACACGTGAATATGATGAGAAGAGACATATCACGTCCTTACTGCGTCGATAAACGATGTCTTTACGCCCGAGATTGAGCCTGAATGCAATATTTTACAACAACCTACGTTTCGGCGCACCATCATCGAGTGCGCTGCGGGATTAGACGACCAGTCTTATCCCAGTCTTGGCAGAAACGGCTTGGTTTTATCCCTTCATTGGGTGGAACGGCCAGGCATGGTTTATTCCTTCCTTGGCTGAAACGACCTGCTTTTTCCTCTCCTTGGTTAACGGGCAACTCATTATAACAAGGTATCACTCCCATATCTTCCGTGGTATTATGGCGCTCATGTAAAAAAATATATCCATGGTTGTATAAAACGGAGAGATAGAAATCAGGTATTGCTTTATTCAACGTCGTTATCGTAAAAGAGCAATACAGTGACCCAAGAGAGCCTTACGTTGTAACACTAGAAATGCGACATGCGTTGCAGATATTACAAAAAAAGCAAAGAAGTCCGCTAAACGCAAGCACGGTTGAAAGCACCAAAGGAAAGATGGAGGGTGAGGATGTAGGGTGAATCTTTCCTTATAGCTGATGTGCTTGCTTGTACAGTATATTTCTATGTATGCCTTTATGCGTACTATGTTGCGTCTCGATGAATGACTGTATTACGGGTCAGCGCATCTATGTGATTATGTGAAAGGGTGTGTTTACGTGCAATATTACGTGTCTTTTTCGTTTTCTTATTCTCCTTTAAATCTTTCTTGTTACTGAATTGCTAAAATTACTTTTATTATTGTTATGGTAATGATAATAATAATAATAATAATATAGTTATTTATATGTGCGTGGTATAAATGCAAGTGCAGGGTACCTAAACCGGTGATTGCATTGTATTGGTATGATTATCAATATGCTCTTTTAACTTTGCTGTTTTGTGATGGTGAAATGGCAGCGTGTGTGAGGTTTGGGGGCTTTAATTGTGATTACAGTACATAATAAAAAACATGAAAAATATCCCATATCATGCCAATATCTGCAGTATCATTTGATATTTACAGAGCAAAGGGTTGCAGCAGAAAAATAATATACATATCATTTTTATCCATCCATGCATTTTATTACATTTCTTTTGGTCAGAAACTTTTTTATGGACATATCTACGGCTTTCTGTTTTTGGTTGTATCTGTATTTTTGGATGTTTCTTTTTACTGTTTGAAATATTCTTAAAATAATTTACATATATATGTATCTTTATACACACACACATACGCACGCACGCACGCACACACACACACACACACACACACACACACACACACACACACACACACACACACGCAAACACACACACACACACACACACACACATACACACACACACACACACACACACACATACACACACACACACACACACACACGCAAACACACACACACACACACACACACACACACACACACATGCGCACACGCACACAAATATACATATGTGTGTGCGTGTATGTATGTATATACGCATACCTCTTTCGTCAACTTCTTAAATATCATATACATTAGCAGTGGGTCTTGCATTCCATCCCCTTAAAAAAGACAAACGAATTTCTAAAAATATTTTGGCAATGACATGCATCACCATAATTTTCTTTTTCAATATTTTTCTCGATGTAAACATGCCAGTCATCTGTTTTTTTTATCATTATTATATTTCCCTTGTTTTCTTTCCTTTCTCTATTTTCATTTTTTTCCCCTTTTTTTACGTGTGTTCATTCATTTTATTTCTCTCTCAATTTTTTTTTCTTCCATTGCACTTCGCTAATGGTCATTCGTGTCCTCGGAAATGTATCCGATCATAAAAATTTCAGGTTTCTTCGTTTTTTTTTCTTCAGTGATATTTTACTGCCTTTCCGTCCGCCATTTTCCATTGAGATTCGTTTTCGTTCGTTTTAAGAATCATAACGTTGAACATGCTCTGACGATTTACTATTGCTGTTCTTTTCTCTGTTTTCTACAACTACTAATAATGATAATAATGATAATGATAATAATGATAATGATAATAATGATAATAACAACAATAATAATAGTTATCATCATCATCACCATCATTATCATTAATATCATAATTATTACTATTATTATATTAGTATTGCTATCAATATCATTATTATTATTACTTTTATCATCATCATCATCATCACCACCATCACCATCATCATCATCACCATCATCATCACAATCATTATTATTATTGTTACTATTAACTTTATTATATCACCATTACTATAAATGCAAATCCGTCACAACTCTTTTTCCCTTTTTTTCTCTCAGATTTCGACCGGAACGGGAATCGTCAGCCAGTTTGTGAACCTGAATGTGATTGTCCCAGAGGCATTCATCCTTGGCAACAGTGAATACCACGTGGAAACTGGATCCCCCATCAACCTATACTGTATCATTGAACAGGTGAGGGTCCATGCTTTCAAATCGAACTATACTGTGTCATTGGGTATGTGTCTTCTTCGAGCTATGTTAAATAATTGAACAGGTGAGGATCTATTCTTTCAAATCGAACTATACTGTGTCACTGGACATGTCTCCTTCAGCCTAATCTGTATCATAGAACAGGTGAGTCTTCATTTCAGTCTTTCTATGTTTATTGTAAAATTGGGCAAGGGAGTCTCCATTTTCGTCCATCTACCTGTATTATATCACTAAACAGCCCTCATATTTGTTTATTTATCTGTACTGTATCATTTAGCAAGTGAGTCCCTGTTCTTACCCATCTACGTATGCTGTATCATAGAGTAGGTGAGTTTCTATCGATCAATGTTGAATCACTGAACTATATCAGTGAACAGTCGAGTCCCCATCAACTTATACTGTACCACTGAACAAGTGAGTCCCTCCCCCAAGCGTTTCATTAGTTATACCGTAATTTTGAATGGTTGGGCTCTCTGTTACCTATATTCTATCACCCCCTCCATTACTTATACTGTAGAAATGAACAAATCAATCTGTATTATATAAGTAAACAAGCGGGCGACCCATCAGTCCATACTGTATCATTGAACTTGTAGTCCACAACAACCAATACTGTAGCACTGAATAGTCAAGCTTCCCCATTGTTCTACGCTGTATCAGTGAACAGGATAGGAATGTTGTACTGCTATAGCGTGGGCTGGTAAAGACTGTTATTTGTTTATTTATTTTGTGTTGCGGTCTTCCATGGAGATGTTGGAAGGGGAAGCGGGAAGGGGCGAGGAAGGGGAAGGGGAGGAGGAGAGGAGGATGACGGCGGTGAGGGAGATGAATAGGGAGAGGGAGAGGGAGAGAGGGGAAGGAAAATGTGGTGGATTTTTTATTTATGTCTGATTTTGTATTTTGTTACGAATTTGTTACTTTTTTTCTTTTCTTTTCCTGTCTCTTATTCTCTCTCTCTCTTTCTGCCTGTGCCTCTCTCTGTCTCTCTGTCTCTCTGTCTCTCTCTCTCTCTCTCTCTCTCTCTCTCTCTCTCTCTCTCTTCCTTATTCTTCCATCAATATACAGCAAACCAAAATATCATGTCTGCAGTGATGAACAGCGTAGATGTGTAGAAGATTTTACAAAATTAATACCATTTTTTTTACCTCATTTTCTCTCTCTTTTAGTGCATGCCACTTTGAGAAAAAGAACCGGGCTTAATGGTTTGACCTCCTGTCCATAATGACACACAGTTGCACGGCAGAAGCAGAAGACAAAAGGAAGAAAATTGAATAACGTGAAGCGCACGACACGAAACCCGTGTTAATTGGAGACCGTAGGAAGTTGGATGCATATGTGTTGCACCATACAGTCCAGCGAGACGGCAACACCTTTTCATTATCTTATTAAATTATGATATTTTGATCGCGATGTGTGATTAGATTTAGGAGGAAAAGGAGAAGGAAAAGATAGAAATAGAAGTGTTTGCGAAAGTGGCCGTGATAAATTCAAGACGGTTGGATATCATTAAAAGGTGTACCAGTGGCGTGTCTGTGTGCGTTTGTGTATGCATGTGTGTGTGTATGTGTGTGTGTGTGTGTGTGTGTGTGTGTGTGTGTGTGTGTGTGTGTGTGTGTGTGTGTGTGTCTGCGTGTGTGTGTGTGTGTGTACTGAAACATACGCAAACTATACGCACATAATGTAAGAACGTGTACAAATGAAACAGTAAAGAAATAAACCGAAAAAAATAGAAACACACATATGTTTGCCTGATAACAACCATAAAAAAGAATTTTCGCAGTGCATGATACCTGCCGATCGCTAGTGAAGGGAGATCCATGCACTGAACTGCGGTGATTGACAGTGTTGTCTGCAATATTATAGGCAATATTTCGCATTTTGACATTCAATTTTATTTCAGTCTCTCTCTCCCTCGCTCTTGCTCTCCCTCCCTCCCTCCCTCTCTCTCTCTCTCTCTCTCTCTCTCTCTCTCTCTCTCTCTCTCTCTCTCCCTCTCTCTCTCTCTCTCTCTCTCTCTTTCTCTTTCTCTTTTTCTTTAGAGCGGGGAGGGAAGAAGTGGGAGAGAGAAGGGAGATAGAGATGAGAAAAAAGAGGGGAAGGAGGGGGAATAGGAGAGAGAAAGAGTAGAGATGAGGGAGAAGAGGGATAGAGAAGGATAAAAAGATGGGGGAGGAGGAGAGAGAAGGTGAGTAGAGATGAAGGAATGTGAGGGGAAGAGAGGAAAAATAGAAGATAGGAAAAAGAGGATGAGAAAGAGTGTGTGTGGAAGAGGAAAAGGAGAGAAGGAGAAAAGGAGAGAGGAAGAAAGGAGAGAAGGAATAGGAGAAATGATGGTAAGAAGAGCTAAAAGAGGGAGAAATAAAGATGATGCGAGGAGGAAGAAAAGATGAAAAGGAAGGATGGTATGAGGAAGACGGAAAGAAAAAACTTAAAAGAAAAAAAAAAAGCTTGGCGGATAAAAAAAGAATAACAGGATTAAAAGATTGTGGGGTACAAGGGAAAAGACGATAAAAGAGGTTGTAGGGAAGAAGGGAAAAAGAGAGAAAAGGGGAAGGAAGGGGAAAGACAGAGGAGGGGAAGAGGAGGAGAGAGAGGAGGAAGGAATCAAACCAAGACTCGCTTCAAGCTCCGAACAGAATTAATCTTCACGTATTTCTTCCACAAAGAGAAAAACTTAAAAAAAGAAGAAGAAGAAGAAAAAAAAAAAAACACTCCAGTCTCCTCTTCCCTTTCCCCTCCCCTACCCCCCCTCCCCTCCCCTTCCCCTCGCTCGCTCACCATGATCTGAATCGCCAATTTAAGGGAGAGAAAAGCGAGGAGAGTCAGAGAGGGAGTGAAAGGGGAGGGCAGTTGGGGAAGGTGGGGAGGGGGAGGGGGGGGGTGGAAGTGAAGAGAGGAGAGGAAAGGAAGGGAAAGGAAAGGGAGGGGAGAAGAGGTAAGGAGAGGAAGAGTTCATTTTCAATAATAAAAAAGAGAAAGGTGTATGTGGGGAAGAGGTAAGGAAAGGAATGGAAGACTTCAAGAGGGGAATAGGTGGGGAGGGGGGTGGAGGGGGAGGGGGAGGGGGGGAGAAGCTACTTTTTGAAACAGGTCAGTGACGCGGAGAGTCAAAGTTGCGTCGAGGAGGGAGAGAGGAGGGAGGGGGTGGGGGGTCCCTATATGGAGGAGGAGGAGGAGGAGGGGAAGGGGTGGGGGTTGAGTGTCCTTATGGGGAGGAGGAGGGGGAGGGGTGGGGTTGAGTGTCCTTATGAAGGAGGAGGAGGAGAGGGAAGAGGTGGGATAGGGGGAGGTGGTACGTGGGGGGGTGGGGCAGAGTTGGGGGGGGTAATTGAGAACCGACTCGTGGACCACAGAGCCTAAAGGACGCTCGGGACTAATCACACGAGGAGATGCACTCAAATGTAGACGCAAGCACGCTCGGACGGACAATCACGCACACGCATGCACGCTCGGATGTGCAGGTACACATGCGCTCACATACACACGCTTGGATGTACATTTATACATACTCGCACGTACATAAGCCAGGATGTGTATATATATACATACGCACACATACACATGGCTATACATATACATAAATTTATATACACACACCTCGATGTATACAAATACCTGTACACATACGCACACACATATAAATAATAATACACATGAATACGATGATAAACGTTCAAATACAAATCCTATCTTCCCATTTTCTTTCATACAAACAAAACCAAACAAGAAAGACACAAAAAACAAAAAAAGTAAACAAACAAACAAAAAACAAGTAAAAGTAATACTATATACCAAAAATATCTCCATCACAAAGAAAGTTCTAATAAAAATGCCACATTGTTTCGTTATGTCCAATTCTGGATCGAGTTAGCGGTGTAAGGGTAGCAATAAAGACAAACAAAAACAGATATTTAAACAAACAAACAAATATACTGGATGTGTGATTACAATAGCCTTAAAAAAAGGACAATAACCATTTATTTATTTATCTGATTATGTATTTTTTCATTGCTTGTCGTACTCTTTTCTTATATATTCAATTATCTTTTTCATTTCATTATTCAATCGCAGGTATATTTATATTTATTTCTTTTTCGTTTATTTATTTATAGTCTCTCAGTTTTCAAGGTCACTCTTCAGCGTTGCCAATGCCGGAATCTCTTGTTTCGAAAAGCCCTCTACTCGTATTGGCAAAACTGTATTTATCTAATTACCTTCATATTCATCAGTTCATTTGTTCATCAGTAAAGTTATTTAATAACCCATGTGTTTAATCACACCCATTAATCAATACAATTAATCAGACTTTCATTCAGTCTATACATTCATTCATTCATTCCCCCCCCATCGATGCAGCAATTGAACGTTCACTATATCTATATCGAGGTTCCTAAAACGCCCTCTTCATTGTTACCACCCTCGCGGCAAATCCCATTCCCCACTTTGCGATGCACCACCGTTGCCATAACAGGCTTTAACCCTTTAGACGGCACGCAAGTATCACCTCTGTATTGGACACGGCTAAATCACCACTGTTACCACACCAGCATTGAACCACTCGAGCGAATGCCCCCCCCCCCTCCCCCCTCCCCCCTCTCCCCTCCTTCCCTCACCCCCCCCCCCCCCTCCACCCGTCAGATCCTATCGTGCTGTTAAATTTTTTACAACACAGCTACAGTTTCAATTTTACAACAGTGTTCGCCCAACCGTAGTGTTATGCTATACACTAAAACATCGGTGAAACAACATCTCGCCACGTTAACACGAAGCACTATAAGCGTTGCCGTAAAACACCGTATGTGCTATAAAACACCATACACACTATTATAGAACACAGTACATCCTGTTCTATAAAACTGTCCATATAAACAACGCACACAACTGTAAAAATATTGTATCCTCGAATATGGAACCCTACAGTACAGACCCTACGAAAGGACACCATATATATTGTCAATAAACACCATATCATCACCACGTAT